TTTTTTCTTTGTTTATTTATTTATTATTCTTATATAAACTCATTCTACCACAATTTGTTTTCTTTTTTGCTCCTTTTTTTAATAATTTATATCGTTTTTTTTTTTCTTGTTTAAGACTTGAGTATTTCAAGAAAATGTGAGAATATAAACAAAAATTAGAGAATATTTGAGTACATTAAGCAAACATGTGTTTGGTGGAAGGGGGAAGAGAGAAAATTAAGCATGTGTATATTTGGAATAGTTGTATTATTAAGTTAGAAGGTCGGGTAATAGATGTAAGATGTTTGCAGACAAAGAAAACTAATATATCTTTAATTTCTAAAAAAAAATCGTGTTTCGGATATAAAAAAGTAAGATATTATGGTACGCAATCATACTATATAAAACAAAATCAAATTTTGTTTTAATCTGAACGCTAATCAAATATTTGACAAAAAAAACCGTTACTAATAATTAAAAATGGTTTTTGATTTTATGTTATTTTTCTTATAGAAAATAGTGTTAAACAAAAATATAAATTCATTCTAAGTGACTGTTTCCTGTTTCCCTTAAAAACATAAAGTTCTCTTTAAAGCAGATATTTAAAAATTCCCATACATAAATGTTTGTTTAATGTTCATACATACCTTTATGTTTGTATCTAAACACTTTTCCTATGAATATAAATTGTTCAAATTAATCTTTTAATTAAGAGGATTATATATACTTAATTGTAAAAATAAACTTAAGAAAATACTTTTCTGGTAAGTGTTACCGATTACGGTGTATGCGGAAATGAGCCTTAAGTAAACAATTCTATGAAGTATTAATAATTCAAATGAAAATTTTTATAAAATATTCAATAATATTACAAAGGCCTACGATGAAAAAGACTTTTTTAATAATTTTCACTGATTCCGAATGTGGAAATAAAAGAATCGCATCAACCACATATTTTCCACATTTTAATTTTTTAGTCCTTCTGAATGTATACTTGTATCCCAAAAAGGAAATTCTGTAATATTACGGAAGATCTTTACCTCTAGAGGTATACTTTAAGCTAAAGAAATTCATTTAGCTCGACAGGACCACGTTAACTTCAGCACTAAAAGTATCTTTTTGGTTTTCAACAGCAAATAATTGGAAGATGTATGCAATTATAGTTCCAATAAGATATAAAACTCAAATTCCTAACTAAACCGCGGGACTTTTTATTAAAATGAGTTTACTACATACTTTATTTTGACGTATATTGCAGGATATTATCCTTTTTGTCCTGAAATGGCATACAATTCTAAAATAGAAATTAGTTTTCTTTAGAAATAACTATTTATTGTAGCTGTGAACTCAAAATTACGCTCTACATCGAGAAAAATAAAAAAAACTTTGGGAAACCAGTGTCCCGTATATGAGAAAGAGTAAACTGAGAAATATTTAAAAAAAATAATACCACTATAGTGGTGTAGGGTGTAATTGACAAAGTTTGGGAAATATTCTAATAAAACCATGACATTACATTAAATATTTTCATCTTCATTAGATAGCGTAAAGCGTATAATAGGTCGATATCTCTCATATGTTATCGGTATGCACCTCCGATATTAATTTTGAAAATTTTGGAGAAAACAATATTTTGTTAACATTTTTATAAAAAAACAGGCTTTATTTCTTCTTGATATGCATATTATATAAAGCTTTTAAATAATATGTATAAACTTCAAGATAACACCGTCCGACACTCAAAATTAGACACGAACGGGATGATATACGTCTAAAACTATAAATTTAATGGATAAATACTGCGTTTTTAGTTTTTCATTTAGTGATCCTGTGTCGTTTTTAAAGGACTTCAAAGTTTTAAAAAGTACATTTTTCAAAAAATATTTTAAAATACTTCTACTGATCAAACAATGCTTAATTTAGTGTCAAGAAGAGTTGGAAAATATTTCGTGTTATTTTTATTTATTTTTTTTGGAAAACTTATATTGAAAACCTGAATAGATATTAAAGGATAAAAATTGTAAACGACATTTTTGATATCTTTTTATTCAGTAAGTAAAAAATAAATATTATAAAAAATATTTCCGAACTCTTCTTGTTCTCTTGGCATTAAATTCGGCATTGTTTGATCAGTAGAAGTATTTTAAAATATTTTTTGAAAAATGTACATTTTAAAATTTTGAAGTCCTTTAAAAAGGACACAGTATCATGAAATGAAAAACTGAAAAGGCATCTCCATTAAATTTATAGTTTCAGACGTATACCATCCGGTTCGTGTCCAACGAAATTTTTTTCTTTTTGTCGTATGGTGTAATAGAAAATATACATCTGAAGTTTTAATAAAATCGAATAAATTTAACCCATAAACTGTTAAGGGCAAACTTAACCTATACTCGTATTTTTCTCATAGTGGCTTTATATATGAGGGTTAGGTTCAATTGCCGACCGATTCATCCCTTTACTCGTTTATAAGCCAGTAATTGGCGGTAAAGTAAATTTCTCAAGGGAACCTTATATAGGGGTGGTATCAATTATGGACCGATCCTAATCAAATTTGGTAGATAGATTTTGATTTATGTAAAAATGATTTACATATATCGAGTTTCATTTATATATTCGTATTTTTAAGCCAGTAATTAGAGTAGTTTTCTGTAGGGGACCCTTTAAGGGGGTTAGGGTGAGTAACCAAGCCATCCTGCATGAAAATAGGTAGGAAGATTTCCTCGCTTTATTTGTATTTTTAAACCAGTAATGAACGTTAAAATCGTTTTTTGAAGGCGACCTTAAGTGAGGCGTCCGCTATACTCGTATTTTTAAGTCAGTAATGAGCGTTTAAGTCATTATCTGAAGCTAATCTAATATGGGGGTTAGGGTAAATTATGACCGATCCCCATAAAATTTGGTAGAGAGATTTTGATGCATATAAAACTTATTTATCTAGAGTTACTAGTACAGCGAGTACTAGTATTTTTAAGCCATCAATGAGCGTTCAAGTAGTTTTCTGACCTTATGTGGGCGGTAAGGTCAATTATAGGGACTATTTATAGAAAATTTTAACTCTCTATCTCTTTCGGTTCGAACCCTATCGTGCTCTCAACAGACAGACGGACGGACATGGCTGAAACGTCTTAGAATTTAGTAAGGACCCAGAATATAAATACTTTTGTAGGTATACGACCAATATTTCGATCCCCCTCTTTTTTTGATGGTGGGTATAAAAATAATGGGTGATAGAGGAATCCATATATCAGATTCGGTTTCAGCAGCTAAAAATACATTAAAGTCAATTGAGTTGGTGGCCTGTGTTAACAAACTCAATTCTTAAAAATTGATTTAAGTATTTTTATCTGCTTGCTATAGAAATAAATTTTCAATTTGAAGAGTAAAGAGAGGGAACAAAATTTTGAATTGCTAGATCGATTTTTATACTCACCATCAAAAAAGATGGGGGGTATATTGATTTTGTCATTCCGTTTGTAACACATCGAAATATTGGTCATAGACCCATATTGGGTCCTTATTAAATTCTAAGACGATCTAGCCATGTCCATCTGTCTGTCTGTTGAAAGCACATTAGAGTCCGAACGGAATGAGCTAGAGGGTTGAAATATTCCACTAATATTCTCTATAGATGATGTTTGTTTGTTATTGAAAATGGACAATATCGGTCCACGTTTTCGGATAGCCCCATACAAGTGTAACAGTACGATTATAGCGATGAAATTCGACATAAAAAAGTTTCATATGATCCAAAATCTCCCTACCAAATTTTATGAGGATCGGTTTATAATTTACCCTATCCCCCTTATAAGGTTCCCTTCGGAAAAGCAATATAACGCTCATTACTGGCTTAAAAATAAGAATATAGCAATGAAATTCGACACAAATAAGTTTCATGCTAGTCAAAATCTCTCTACTAAATTTTATGCTGATCGGTCCATAATTGACCCTACCGCCATATAAGGTCCCCATCAAAAAAATTACTTTAACGCTCATTACTGTCTTAAAAATATGTGTATAGCTATGAAATTTGACGTAATTAAATCCCTGACGAACCAAAACCTCTCTACCAAATTTTATGTGCATCGGTCCATAATTGGACTCATTACTTTCTTAAAAATAAGAGTAAAGCAAAAAAATTTAACATAAGTAAGTCTCTTACGAGCAAAATCCTCTCTAGCAAATTTTATGTGGAACGGCCCCATATAAGGTCCCCTCCAGTTAAATACTTTAACGCTAATTATTGGCTCACAAGTACGAGTGTAGAGATGAAATTTGACATAAGTAAGTTTCTTACGAGCCAAAGTGTCGGGAATTGCTATTCGATGTAAACATGTTTCATATGAACCAAAATCGGTCTAAAAAATTATGAAAAATTTTATAAAAACCGTCAATAATTCACCCTACCTCTCATAAAAGGTCCTATCTGAAAATTTGATGAGTAATATCACCCTGATGTTTATAGGAGAGCATTCCTTTTACGGCATACGGTTTGATGGTGGGTATATTAGATTCGGCATAGCCGAATATAGCACTCTTAGTTGTTAATAAATATTTTTTGAATTTGTTTCGACAAATTCATTATCAGCTCTAAATATTTCATTAAATTAGAAATTGTATACCTTAAAAACATTTACTTCCACAAATTACTAAATATATGTATTTCTGCCAACAATATTAATTTAAAGAATTTCTTTTTTCCACTTTTATCTTTATCTAGGTAAAACAGAAATTTTAATTGCTATTTTTATTAAAGTTTATATTAACAAATAGGCGGCAATTGACGCCTTATTTTAAGCTGTAAATATATTACTTACTTTTTATTTGAACTTTAATCCTGTGGGTAACAAAACAATCACAGAGAAAACATAATTAAAAATCTTTAATAAAATTTGCGCAGATAAAACAAAATAGTTACACCTTTTGTCTACGCAGACAAATTCTAAATAAACTAGAATTTTCCCATTACAATATAAATTTGATTTTACATTTAAATACGTTTCTTTTTCTTTAATTTTCAGCTGATTGTAGAAATTAATAGTCATGTGGCGTTATTTCGTGATCTTTTAATACATGTTGGCCAATCTAAAGACTGTCCGGAATTACGTGAAAAAATACGCAAACTGCGTCGTACTTGTGTAGAGGCCTTCAAGCGAACTGAACAGATTTTAATACCACAAGTAAAAAAGTAAGTTTTGCTATTTTACCATTTTCATTGAATTCATATTTTACGTGTTTAAAAGGTTTTAAGTTTGTTTGCCTCATTACTTTTTTTTTGCTATTAAATGAAAATATAAGTATATTGATTGTAAGTTGATAAGAAAACTATTTTATATAGAATTCTAGTTAAGAGAAAACTTTATTTCTAGAGCTTTTTATTAAGTTTATTTTCTTCAACTTTATTTTTAGTCTACTTTGAGGTTAACAGGTGTTAAAGTTTTCTACTCAAGTTGTTGAATATATGATTAGCAGTTCTTATCTGTTCATTTAAACATTTTCATGGGGAAGGAGTGAAAGAATATTATTTTTATGAAATGTGTGTTAATTTTGTAAGCAGAGTTTATGTTTTTGTAAATATGTATGTACTTTTGTTGTGGGCGCAAAATGTGAAACAAAAACTTTGTGCGTTAATTAACTAAACATTTAGATATTATTTATGATTAAATTAAAAAGGGAATGAAAGTTAGGTCGGTAGAACCTAATTATGTAATAGTCTACATGGTTATAAGTTATTTTTTGTGGTAGGCCATTATCGTTCTCTACACCACTATTTTGTGGTAAGCTCACTATTGACAAACAATCCGTTGCTTACCACGTTTGTTAACATTTAGACAACAGATGTGTATAAAATGTAGATTTCGACAACGAATTGTTGCAATGTTGTCAACATTACATAGTGTTGTCGTACGTATGTATATACTTTGACAACGGATGTTATTGGAAAATTATAAAAAAATTATTTATATTTATTTTTAAACCCACCATCAAAAAAGATGTATATTGATTTTGTCATTCCGTGTGTAACACATCGAAATATTGTTCACAGACCCCATAAAGTATATATATTCTGGGACCTCATAATATTCTAAGACGATCTAGCTATGTCCTTCCGTCTGTCTGTTATTTCACCTAGTTCCCATAAAAATTGTACTTACGAATATCGGTTTGGCACTCATAATAATTTTTAATGTAGTAGTATCCCTACACAACTAAGTTCTCCGTAAACCTAGATGATATTACCTATGATTTTGACCCTCACCTTCGTATAAAGTTCTATACAGTAAATAACTTAAAAGTCCATAATACTATTATGCATAACTATTGGAATCATGATAAAATTTGCCATAAACCAATTGTACATAAAAATGAATTCCCCTATAAAATTGTATGGCGATCAATATTAATTTAACTTAAGCCCCCAAATCTCATTTATTCGCATCAGAAAATAAATTGTACGTCGATAATATAGATAAAAACACTAAATTATGATCAAACTCTGCTCAAATAACATAAATTTCTCCAATAAATTTTATGAGTATTGGCCCATATTGGATATTTAACAGATTTACAAATCTTTCAAGATGTGTTTTTAAGGGTTACTCGCTACCAATACTATTTACTTACAAACATCAACACAAACGCATAATACTTTCCTTGGTATAATAAATAGTGTAGGAAATAATGAACTGTATAAACACTGTATTAATACGTATGACTAATATTTAATTATTTGTTAATTATAAATACATATGTTTAGTAGTCAAGCTACACATTAGAGGTAGACCAAATCGGATAACGGGAACCCGTGTCGGAAATCATTATCCGGGTATATTGTTTTGTCATTCCGTGTGTAACACATCGAAATATTGTTCACAGACCCCATAAAGTATATATATTCTGGGACCTCGTAGGATTCTAAGACGATCTAGCTATGTCCGTCCGTCTGTCTGTTGTTGTCACGATAGCGTCCACAAAAAAGAGATATTGAGATGAAATTTTTCTAAAATATTTCTTATTGACCAAAAATGTTTGGTATTGAAAATGGACAAAATTGGTCAACGTTTTCACATAGCCCCCATACAAATGTACCCCCGGAAAATTGTGTAAAAAGCTTCAAAAATTCACAAATTCGTTGTTTATCACAAAATTTCGCATAGGTCAGTTTTTTGACTTCCGCAATAAAATTCTGAATTATGGCGGACATAGGACCAAAATTGGCCCTATCCCCAAATAAGGTCCCCTTTTGAAAACGACTATAATGCTGATTACTGGCTTAAAAATACGAATATAGCGATGAAATTAGACACACATAAGTTTCATGCAAGCCAACATCTCTCTATCAAACTTTATGTGGATCGGTTCATAACTGATCCTACCGCCCATATAAGGTCCCCTTCAGAAAATGACTTTTACGCTCATTATTGGCGTAAAAATACTAGTATAGCGAATAAATTTGACATAAGCAAGTACTTTAGGAGCCAAAACTTTTCCACCAAATTTTATATGGATCAGTCCATAATTGACCCTACGCCCCATATAATGTCCCCATGAGAAAATTACTTTAAAGCCCATTACTGGCTTAAAAATACGAGTATAGCAATGAACTTCGACTCAAGTAAGTTCCTTGCGAGCCAACATCTCTTAACCAAATTGTATGTAGATCGGGCCTTAATCGACTCTACCCCAAATATAAGGTCCCCATCAGAAAATTACTTCAACGTTCATTATTGGCCAAAAAAAAATGAGTAAAGCGATGAAATTCGATATAAACATGACATGTATGAACCAAGATCGTTCTACAAAATTTTTAAGAGGATCGGTCTATAATTGACCCTACCCCCATATTAGGCCCCTTAAAAAAATTACTTTAAAACTCAGCTCTGGCTTAAAAATGCAAGTAGATCTATGAAATTCGACATAAACTAGTTTTGCATGAGCTAACATCACTTTAAAAAATTTTGTGGGAATTGGCCCATACCCTACCCTTCATTTAAGGTTTCTATCAGAAAATTTCTTTAACGTTCATTATTGGCTTAAAAATGCGAGTACAGCAATGAAATTTAACACTGATAAGTTCTAAAGGAACCGAAATCTCTCTACCAATTTTTATGAGGATCTGTATATAACAACCCTACCCCATATAAATTCCCCCTCAGAAAATGGCGTCATGAAATAACTCCCCACGAAATAACTCCCCAAAACAAAAATGAAATAACTCCCTAAAAATTTGTTCAGAAAGCAAAAACAACGAAATTTGGGGATTTAATTCGTTTTTTGGGGCATTATTTCACATTTAAAATCGGGAGTTATTTCATTATGAAATAATTCCTCAAAATTCAAAAATGAAATAAATCCCTAAAAATATTTTTGGGGATTTATTTCATTATATTAATTTTAACACATGAAATAAAAAATATATAGCTGATAGCCGGCCTTCGACCGGGCGCAAAGGTTTTATCCTCTGGGGTACATTGGACACCGGCTTCGCTAAGAATACACTCTTCTTGTATCAAAAGTGTTCTGCCTTAGGCTGGCTATTTAGGAAATCTTTATTAAGCGAAGCCGGTGTTGGTCATATTATAGAGTGGTAAATCCTTGCGTCCGGCCGTAGGCCGGCTATTTAGGAAATATTTATTAAGCGAAGCCGTTGTTGGACATACCATAGAGTAGAAAGTCCTTGCGCCCGGCCGCAGGCCGGCTATTACGGGAATCTTTATTAAGCGATTAAACTGAAATGTATTGAACTTTGAAGCCCCACTCGAAAGTATGAGCGACCTACTTTTTTTTAGAAATGTCACTTTGTTATTTTTAAATGGGAACTTATTTCATTTTAAAATTAGGGATTTGTTTCATATGAAATAAATCCCCAAAAATGGGGTGTTATTTCATTTTAATTTAGGAAGTTATTTCATTCCGTTGGGGCTTTTTTCATTTTTTAAATTGGGGAATTATTTCATAATGAAATAAGTCCCCAAATTTAGGGAGTTATTTCATTTTTGTTTTGGGGAGTTATTTCGTGGGGAGTTATTTCATGACGCCTCAGAAAATGACTAAAACGTGAAAAATACTAATTTTAAGCTAAAATCTCTTTACCATGTTTTATGAGGATCGGTCCATAACTAATCCTAACCCCCGTATTAAGTCCCTTTAAGAAAATGACTTTAATGCTCATTACTGGATTAAAAATACATGAAATTTGAAATAAATACGAAACTGAAATCTTCCTACCGACTTTTATGAGAATTGGTTCATATATGTATAAATAATCGTACTCCCTTTATACATCAATATTTTTAATTCGAAAGTGCACTGTCAATAGTTAAACCCCCATTAGTGGACCTCTTTTAAATATTACCCCGATGTTCTTATTAATATCGATATATAATAATAAAATATTCAAAATATCAAAGTTTATTTGTATGACAGTGATTTGATGGTGGGTATATAAGATTCAGCATAGCCGAATACAACACTCTTACTTGTTCCCTCTGTGTAGTTCCATTAGTATCGCGATGAAATTCAGCATAACTAACCTTTATATAAAAATATATCCCTCCTCCCAATTTGTTGAGGATCGGCCCCTATTTGACCCTAAGTCCCATATAAAGCCTCGGCCATGCCTGACTATACTTTCCTACTTGTTTGCATTACAAACATCAGTACAAACACATAATACCTTCGTCAGTATAATAAATAGTGTGGGTAATAATATCCCAGCAAAAAAATTTTGAAGTTGTTCAAGAAGAAGGGATATTTTCATGATTTCTTTAGTACGTATTCAATTTAATGCGTTCTAAATACATGCCTAAATTCTAATAAATTTTTCATAAGTGAAGGCATGAAAAATTGCACCCAATTCACTCATGTAACTCTACTATAGGAACTGTAATATATCACTTTAATTTGGTATACTCTTAGAATTTAAAGGAAACGTGCATTTCATACAACAAATTTAAAAATAACATTAATTTTATTAGATTTTTGTATTTAATATTTGTTAAATTAGTAATATTAAGTCCATTTTAACATCTTACTTAATAAGAGAAGGAAAAAAACCAAGTTGACTGACTGATTTTAAATTATAATGGGTATTTTTACTTCAAATGAATTTTAATGCAATTCAAAATTTGTTTTATTTTGTTATCACATTTAATTTTTATCAATATCATGCTAAAATATTAATTTAAATATTAATAATTAATTCGTAATACCTTTAATAATGCATTTTAAAATAAATATAGTGCACCAATGAAAATTCGCTTGAGAATCATCGGATGTTCATTGGTTGTAAGCACTCATTTTAATGCCGAACTATTTTTCCAAATACGAACCCATGCACGCCAATGACACGCTAATGTTAAAATCATGCATGTTTCACCTAAATATGAACCAGTTCATTATCAGTTGAACCCATGCATTTACTACTTTTTTTGCACGCCTTTTTTTGGATACTATACTGTACACTTGTACGTATGATTAATATTTAATTATTTGTTAATTATATGTTTAGTGGTCAAACTACACATACTAAATATATTTTTATATAAAAACAGTTCATTAGTTAATTAATTTTTATTCAATTGTTCATTACAGACAAAAATGAAACATTGTTATAAATAAAATTATTTTACTAAATATTTATTTAACTATATAATAATGTATTTTTAAGTTTCGCCCGCGATTGAACTTTGATTTATTATTTAAAATAGAAAAATACAAATAATAAAATTAAATAATACCTTCAATGAGTAAACATATGCGGGTTTATAAAAAGCAGTTAAAAGTTATACAAAAAATACAAAAATGTTATTATAAAAAATACTTTTTTTTTATTTTAGAAAAAAAGATAAATAGAACATGATTTATATTCTGTGCGATTTCAATGTAATAGACAAATAAATTTATCACAACTGTCAAATGTTTACACATTTGAAACAAATAGCATCAAAATAAATAGAAAATATATTTTAAAAGAATTTCATTTTTTTTTTTTCATGAAAATGAAAGTGTGTTCATGTATGTATATTAGATGACTCAATAAAGATGTTTCATTGGCCAATAACAAGTTTGAATACTTTTCCAATGTTCTGTATATAGTTTTGATTGAAATTTTAGTACGTTAGTTTTATATCTCTAAATTAAAAGGATATAGTAGTTATTAGGGTTGTCAATTATTCGTGTTTAAAATTATTCGAATAATAATGTACTATATTTTTTTGTTCGAGTAGTCGATTAAATTTTAAAAATTATTCGATTATTCGAACGAATAACGAATAAAAGTTTTTATTCGAATAATATAATAAAATATAAATATAATAAAAATATAAAAAAAAAACCTTCAAAATCTTAAAATAAAACGGTTTTCTTTATAAATCAGTAACTTAGCTGAATCTCAACCTATTTTAAATTTCTCAACGGATTTAAAAGTGGAAGCTGAGGCCTTTATAATGATATATACGATGTTTAGCTAACCTGTTTTGCAGACATTTTTACAAACTGTTTTATATAAGTAAATCGTACTATTTATTAATGTATTAGAAACAGTGCGCTGCTTTTCATGGAAGAAACAGGTTTTCTGGTAAAAAAAACAACATAGAGTCGACTGAATGTATTATCTTTCAATGTTCTGAAACTCAGTTTCCTGGCCGTAATTCCTAAGTATTTCCCAATCAGTGTTCGAGAGAAATGTTCCGCTTGATCAAGACATTCTATCTGGGCTCAGTATTTCAAACATATTCTGTGTCTGTTTCTGACATATTCTGTGTCTAGCATGCGATCAGGCGATGATTGTTTATAGCTTCCCAATGTGTCCAGTATACATTGATGACGTGTCCTATAACTGATTTTGGACATTTCACCTAAAGTTATGAGCCGTTCGGTTGTAAGTGCCGCCTCATATTTTAAATATGTTTCAATGGGTGGAATATCTAGCAACGTTTCTGGAGCATTGCTTGCTACTTGTACCCAAGCTACAACAACAAATATTTTATCATTTTTAAATCACATAATAAATACATTATTCAAAATTAAATCCCTGCTAAAAAAAATGTAATAAATAAATATCAATTCCAATCCATAAATCAGTTACAATCTGAAAGGAAACACATTAAAAAACAATCTATACCACAAGTTGTACATATTACGCGATGAAATCATTTTATGTTTTACTTAAAACATTTTAGTTTCATATTAAAAATAATCTTTATTACAAACATTTGTTCTACTTAAACATCACCCTCCATTTTTTCCCTCTTAGCTAAATGTTATATTTTTACGATTCATCACAATTACTATCAGATTGTACGAGTATTGAGTTAAATTGTTTATTATTATATTTATGCATAGTTGAATCTAAAAACAATACACGAGTTTTTGAATAAATAGATGTTAAATGTAGTATGTCTAAGTCGAATGTTATGGATACTATAAAAGTCAAACGAAACTGGTTCCAAATGTTTCTTTGACCATTGTCTTTCAACTAATCACCTTTGCATAAAGTAGTGTACCAAAAAGTGATTGTTTTTATTACCACCCACTTCACTTAATCTTGAAAAAGAAAACTAAGGACTTCTTGAAAAATAGAGTAAACAAGAAAAAACAACAACATGAAAGAAGAGTTTTTATATCTCTCAACGTATTATTAAATTTTATTACTATTTTCTTAGTTTTATCTCCTCCCTGTTTTGTTTTCTTGTTATTTTTTCCTTAATATTAAAGAAACATGGCAAATATAACAAAACTAACTTCTTTTGGTGTTTTTCTTCTATTTCTGCTCTTTTCATCTATTTACATTATTGTTGGTGTTGTCATCATTATTCCAACTGTCTTATATCTCCTGCTGCCATGGTGTGAATTTGCTGCTGCCACAACTTCTTACTTATGCTGCCTCTAACGCTGTGTGAAACAAACTGTGTTGTTGCTGCTAATTTTGTTATTACTGCTTTTACTAACTCTGGGTGGTACTTGTCCATGCTTTGCTGCTGTATCTCTCCTTGATTGTAGTGCTACTGCCGATGGCGTACTTACTGACAATCCCCATCTTGTATTGTTGTTTTACATGGCACAATTGTTTTTACGCGAATTAGTGAAAAGCTATCGTCTTATACAAGTGGTGCCAATGGACATGTCAGGATATTATGGTAAGTTTCATCAGTTTTATATCCTTTTCTTTTTGCCATTTACGTATTCTTTTAATAAAAAACAATATCTTTTTCTGCGTCTTGAACTTATATTTAATATAATATTTAAACAGCATTTTAAAAGGATTAACTCAATAAAGTAATCTCTTAAAACTTTAGATAAGAGATTTGTGAAGTGTTTAGAATTTTACATTATTTAATTTAATTTCGTTATTATTTGGAAAGTACTTAAGTTCAGGTAGGCTGTCATATGGTACAAGGCCTTTTTGGTGTTCCGTAGTGTCCATGTACATTATGACATTCCTCTAAAGTTCAAATGATAAGCACTATCAAAAGCAATGTTATAGTAATAATATGGCACAAATACTTACCAGGACCACAGGCTCGATTCCGATAATTGATGTATAGTTGAAACACATTTCTCTACTGGCTATTATTGGTCAGTAAGCTAAATAATAGGTTGGTTGGTTCATTTTCACGAAGACTTAATAATATGATAATCATACGAATCGTTCTTGTACGAAAATGTTTCACGAAAAGGTATTTTTTTTTCTTGGACCAACACTTAGTAGAGTTCATCCCCACTTATGCGAAGCATTGTGTTGGAACTAGGAAAATAGGAAATATGGGGAGGAGGATAGAGGGAGTATTGTTTGTGGACATTTGATTTAAATCCTCTTACATCGAAAGTGGCAGGGAATACTTCTGCCGGAAATTTATTCCACATACGAATAGTGCGGCTGAAGAATGAATTTTCCCTGTAGTGTGTTGTGCGGTCCACTAGCCAATCTACCACTAATGGATGTGTTCTTGAAGAAAGACGTGTGTTTCGTAAGAATATATGCGATAGACCCTACTGTCACCGATAAGTACCTTCGCCCTCTCCTGTACGTGGTCGAGTATCGCCAAAATAGACTTCGAATCTGCGGTCTATATATGAGAGTTGTATTCCATTTTCGATCGGATATAAGTGGTGTAAGTATGACTTACACCGTTTTAAAAAACCGAGTCTCTGTAATGCTTCTTTCGACACTTGAAAATGTGTTTATTGCAGTGGACATCTCCCCGTATTTTCATGCCCAGAACGTCAAGACTATCCGATTCCTTAATATATACATCACCCATATATATAGATGGAACAATAATATCTGCCAAGCGTTTATGTGTTAAAAAAAACAACATTGAGTCTTACGGAAGTTAAAGTCGACTGTTAACACTCATTGCCCCAATCTCTAGAGGGCTTAGCTAAAGAATGGCTGTCATTCGCTGTCATCGGAAAAAGAGTAGATAGAGTTGGAAGTTTGACATATCCTGGGGAAAAGAGGTGATACCAAGACCTCTAGTCTGCCGGGACTATAAACTGGTGATGATCAAATGTATCCTCGGCCTTTCCTTGGAATGATTTAACATGGGGTCTTACCAGAGTACCATATAATCTGGCACTACGGGTGGTCAGTTGCCCGCAGGACTTGTCCTGGCTGGTCAGTTGGTTGAGGTACCTTCGGGATTCACGTAGTGGCAGTGCTTTATACCCAAATTCGCGGGGAGAGAATGTTTGTTCAAGGACTGATATATCCAAATGCCATATATGTCTGGATTCTCTCTCCGGTGCTGTTGCCATCTCAACAGATGTCACTGGATGATGTGACAGAACATCTTATGCTGGATTCCTAAACCCGTTGAGTATCTCTTACTCTTCGCTTAGTAGGGCGCCAATATAGGTTGGGGAATTTTCAGATTGATTCTTGGTAGTTTCCTGTCATTCCGTAGATCGTTCTTTATGGTCTGATAATGGAACTTATGTAATTTGTGAACGATCGGGAAAGATTCCTCTGCCCGACATGAGACTAGTACAGATTAAGTACACCTTTTACTTCAGGGAAGTTCACGGTGCTGTTGCCATCTCAACTTTATTCATATTGTTTCATGCTACGCGACTTATGGTTGAGGTCCACCACTCAACTTGTCGGGTCAATTATTGGGTTCGAATTGACATACAGAGGGATCCTGATTTATTAGCTGGGTATTTCTGTCTACCAAATACGTCTCTAGGTGCTGTTGCCGAATCAACAGAGCCATCTCAGTAGTGTGGTTGCACGTGCTTTAAGAGGTTAAGGAATGCGCTGGAATGGGTCATTAGTTGATGGGGATTGCATTTCAAATATTGCAATCTTTCATGACATCATAAGGGTGATCACCTTCCGGTATACCGGAAGATTGATTTCACCTGATGTTGGGGTAGTCGCCCCTTCTATTGACTTTAGACCAGTGATTGCGTTTTTCTTGTCGGTGTTTGCATTGAGATTGATGTGTCTTTCCGCAACGGGGCTACTATGGCAAGAGATTAGATAGCTCGAGTACTCCAGCAAAGTGCTTGTACATGGACCGACTCAGCCATGTACAAAAATTGCCACCTGAGTTCTTCCTAGAAGAATTCAGGGGCGCGAGATAGACTCTTTAGTCTACCCAGAGGACGAAAAGAACCACCGTAAAGGTGTTCACTTTAAGCACTCAACATTCGGTCCAGGGTACTGTTTATGTTAAGAGTTTTCTGTATTGAGAAAGATCAAAGCAATGGAACTCAGTCCAAAATTTGTTTTTATTTATTTTGGAAAATAAATATCCACCATTGGCATATAAACACGACAAAATTCAGAATAATAGATTTTCTTTCGATTCTTTTCCACTATGGTAGTGCTGTGAATATCTTAGCTTTTGTTATTATTTAAAAAGAATGAAATTTTTAAAAAGAGCATATAAAAAAAATATTTTCTTTCATTACGAGCAAAATTTTGCAATAAAGTGGCAAGACAATACAACACTTAAGAGTGCGACAAGTGTGTATAAATGCAAAAAGTTTCCTTGAAAAAGAAAAACAAAATCACATAGACAATTTCTCTTATGTGCACTTAAGAGTGCGACAAGTGTGTATAAATGCAAAAAGTTTCCTTGAAAAAGAAAAACAAAATCACATAGACAATTTCTCTTATGTGCGCATTAGATCTGCCCTTGAAAAGTAAATAGTTTTTGATTTGGGTCTAATCAGTTGAATGTTGTACAATTGAGTAAACTATGTATAAATATAAAAACAAATTATGCGAAAAATTATCCGAGCCAAAAATCTATTTTCGACCCACCCTAATATATATACACATTGTATAAGAATAGCTCTAATATTACATACGCATTTATTTGCGTATACATATGTATGTATATTTGTACGTAAGCATGTAGTATGTATGGTTGAGATTGTGGGTTGAAACAATTACTGTTTGTGGCAACAATTTAAAAACTTACAATCATCATCAACACTGCAAGCAATGAAAATAATGAATTCTATGTACATAAGTACACACATACATACATACATACATACATATGTATTTAGAATGTATGTGTGAATAATTTTTTAAATGTTCATATAGTTATTGCTTCTGAATAGATTAAGTGACTAGAAAAGTTTTATTCAACAGAAAAAAAGTGGTTATTGTGATGATGTTTTACTTGCATTTTTATATTATACAGTCAAATAAAAAAGTATTCGATTAAATTTAAAATTTAAATTTTAACGCGATTTCTAAAGAATAAAAGTACATTTAATTTTCCTAAATTTTTGGAATGTTTTAAATATGTTCTTACAATTTGTATCTTATCTTATGTGTTCGAAAACTTGTTCAACTTACTGTTCAGGTACGAACATATTGTTACTTCTTTAGTTTATTATATTTTGATGTTATCAAATACACTTGTGTTATGAATGTCATTTATAGATTTGTTTGAGGAAATTATAAAAGTTTTTAAAATGTATTTAAAAAAAAATATCTCAAAGTTTTCTTTATTTTGCATTATTTTAGTTTTGTTTAGTAGAAAATGGCAATTTGCAAATGCATAACAAATATTTATTTATAATGGAAAATTTATCTTGTTGCTAAAAATGGAAAAACTATAGTTTTATTTATTTTTGATAAATTTTAAAACAGACAAGTTTGAATTGTATCAGCAAAAAAACAATAGAAGTTTTAATGAACACAAAAACAACAATACTAATCTAGGTCTTCATCTAAAATTTATTTTCGTATACAATTTCTTATTTGTTTAATTTATTTAAAACTACCATTTGCTACAGTATTAATAGAAAACACGTGTCAATATTTTCTGAACACTGCAGTTGTATATCTTTCCCACCTCCTATACGAACATCATTTTTAAAAAAATGTTTCATTAAATCGAAATATATTTACCAAATGATGTATCAATCAGCTTGAGGTTAAAATCTGTCAATAACTACATGTTCTGCATACTATTTTCCATAAAAAATTCAATTTTTAAAACTCATTAGTTCGAATGGTATTTCGTATAGCTTTAAAATGATTAAGAAAAACCTCCTTTCAATCAAGTTGTCAGTCAGTGTGTACCTTTTTAAGGTTTGTTTGTGAAATTTCTAATATTACTTATTGGATGTGAATGAAAATTAAAAGAAATCTGTGGAAAAATTTCTTTTGTGTAATCTTAACGAATGTTTTATTAAAGTTACTAAACTACACCCCTTTTTAACTTTTGTGCAATATTTTTATGAATAACGAAATTTTTATTTCGTTTATCTATTCTAACTGAAATTTTTTGCATGAAACTTACACAACAATCAAAAGTACCTACATCACTTGTCAGTGTTGCGCACTGGCAAAATTTGGAAAAAAGGGAAATATGTTTATAATTTTTATATGGTTGATCCAGAAAAGATGAACTATTATTGAGTTTAAGGAATCCAAACATTTCACTTCTTACTTTTGTGGTTTAACATGTATTTAAACTGTAAAAAATAATAATTTACAAGCTAGAGTGCTATATTCGGCTGTGCGGATTCTTAAATACCCTACTCCAGCAAACTACCTTTTATTAAAACCCGTTTAACTGTCCTATTTTTAGATAACTCCACAAAAGTCTAGTTTCCGTAGTGAGAGTACTAACATTAATGCATATGTGGAACTATTTTTGATTAGGTCTAGAAAAATGTATATTAAGTGATTTTCAGATATGGACCTTATACGGGTGCTATGACTAATTATGGGACGATCTTGCCGATAATAAAACGGAGAATTTTACACCAACGTTGATATTTTTATTTTGATCCCGATAACTTTGATTTTAAATGTGCGTTTAAGTAATTTTTGGAAATGGTCTTATATGGGAGTTGTGACCAGTTATAGACCGATTCAGAAAAATGATTTTTATGCACACAAAACAAATTCAAGTCGAATTCTATCCTAATCAATTAATCAATGAAATATGTGCGTTTAAGTGATTTTCGAAGGTGGAACCTTTATGAAAGCTATGACCAATTATAGGCCTTCCCGGAAAAAATTTCGTAAAGTGATTTATATATAGACAAAACATATTTGTGTGGAATGTTAATAATAATAGCTTTATTTATCAATGAAATATGTGCGTCTAAGTGATTTTCGGAAGTGGACCTTATATAGGAGCTGTGACCAATAGTGGACCAATACAGATCTACTTCGGTAGTATGATTTCATATTTTATTGTTCATATTATATTTACATGTACAAAGGTTTGTGTTGATACCAATATATTTAAGGGAGTAATGAACGATAAACTAATTTCCGGGAATATATACATTTGCATGGGAGCTATGGAAATTTTTGGGTCAATTGTTATGATTTTGAACATTCTTGATCCCATGTAGAAAAAAATTATGTTTGATAAAATTCATCGAAATATCTTTGGTAGTTTATGAGAAAACTATTTAAGAATTGGAGAAAAACGTATTTTTTCGAGGTAGTCTGAAATTTTTACTCATAACTTTTTACGTCGTTAAACGATTTGCTGATTTTTCAATAATAATAAATAAATTCTATGGAGTTTGTTGATTTCCTTTGTTTATTTTTAACATGAGCGTGTTTTGCACAGACAGACAGACGGACATAGCTAAATCGGCTCAGAATTTCACAAGGACCTAGAATGTATATACATTGTTGGGTCTAAGATGAATGTTTCTTGGGGTATACCCTCTATCATTAGTGATGGTGGTGGAGGGTATAAAAACATCACTGAAGCAAAAGTTCTGTCAGGTAATTTTTCGAGTGAGCCACCCTTTCTCCTTTTGAGCATTTGTTAAACCCACCAGAGGTTGATTTCCCACTTTTTTTGCTTGATGGTCTGCTCTTGACGCTAGTGGTAATTTTTATTTTTATTTTATTCAGCACGTATAAGTTGATGCTTTGTGCTTTTTAATGAAATATCCGGTCAGGGCCAAATAATCAGCATCCCTTATCCCCGGCGGTGTGTTAAAAAGATTTTATGATGAGAGTCTTATATAAACCCACCTTGTCAAATTAGGCATTTCGTCATGTGGTCTCGATCGTTATTTCAACAAAAATATGGATGGACGGATGGACAGGCATGGCAAGGACCCGGTATATATATACTTTTGTGGATCTATGAGCAATATTGCCATGTGTAACGAATGACAACAACAAAATATATTCTCCATCTTTGTTGAAGTTGGGTATAAAAACACAATTTTCCACCCATAAATATGTACAATGTATGTCAAATTAATCAGAGAAATTAAATCTCATATTGAGATTATAATATTAGTTTTAGTCCTAATTAGCTCAGAATAATAGTACCTCCGCTAGTTGTAGTGCAAACCTTTTTTTTAACAAATAGTTTTGGTTTTTTTTTTGTTTTTCCAGAAAATCGAGCTGGTCCCTCTAATTTGGGCAACGTTATAAGTCAAATATTACTGTGTAAACAAATAACACCAGATTTTAATCAAGAGGAATTATGTAGCATTACAAAAGACTCCCAGGACATAGCGATGCTGCTGTCGGAAATGCAAGAGTTCATGCCACAGCATGAAACATACCTGGGTAAGTTTATTGTCAATTCATTACAATTTTTAATGGCAAATTTATTGGTTTAGAATTTAAATTTATATTTTACAGAGTTTTTTTTATTGTCTGTACAAACAATAGAGAAATAAATTATTCGAAAGCAGAAGCAAAAATAGCAACATCATGATAGGGATATACATTATCTGAGAGTAATTTGAATAAATAGGATTTATTGTCTGTTGTAATTTGGTATTACATATTATATTTAAAATAAGGATTAGGGGTTGTAGTTTTATCTTTCTTTATTAGATTTGTCTATAGAATAATTGAATTTAAAATAAATTGAACACTTGTTGGTTTTTTTAAGTATTTAGGTGAAATTTTAGGAATAAGGAGTTGGTAGCATCAATTTAAACTTTAATAAACTGTTTACCCTTAAAATAGATATATGTATTTTACACTGCATTATCACAGAGATATTAAGCGTGTATGCTAAGGTCAGAGCCATTTGCTGATATTCAAAATATCTTCATTATATAGTTAGTCAGAGATGTTCAAATAACTATATTTTCTTAATCTTTTATTTAACACTATTCTAACAAATTTATTTCATTTCTACAGAACGTCACACTGCACTGGACAACAATGGACCATGGGCAAATAAAGGTCGTCATAATTATATTTGTAAAAATATGAGTTTACTTTGTTGCGTCTCTCGACCAAATTATCTCTGAAAGTAAATATTATCTTAAATATTTTAAAATGTTATATTATTACTAATAATGTCTATAAAAGTTAACTCTTTTTTAATTTTATTTTTCTAAATAATAACGAAAACAAAAAAAAAAAAAACAAAACAATTCAAGGCAATTACTTTTATTATATTTAATTAATTTTGTTTAATTTTTTTCTAAGAAAACGTATAAAAATCAAAATAATTTTTTATTAAGAAAATAATTTCTAACTTAAACATACAAACCAAAAAATGCACCAATTAGTAAAATAAATAAAAATAAATAAAAGTATTTATAATAAAAGAAAAAAAGTACTAAAATGAAATTAAGAAATTAATGTTAACATTACACATCAATTACTAAGTATAAATTAGAATTTAATTAATAAGTTTAGAATTTATTTAATAAATAAACTAAAATTTATTATATACATTTAGAAGTAAGTTTAAAAATGAACAAAAAAAAGATCAAAACCACTTGCTACATATTTAAATTTTTAAGAAATTTTCAAATACCTGAATATTTATTTAATTAGTTAATTAGTTAAGTGTTATTTACTGTAAATGATTAATAACTGAAAAATAGTTACAAATGCATATATACAATGTTATGAAATATAAAAAGCAATCTCCCATTACTTTTCATATTCAAGATAAGTACCCTAAACTAATAAATAGTCCCACAGTCGCTCATCTAAGGGGTACTGTTAACCAACATTCTCTTTCTACGATTTATGTTCAATCACAGCTATTACATAATCACCGAAGGGACTCAACTAATAGCCGCTAGTAGTATCAGAGATTATGTAGTTCTTTGTTCCGAAACCGAGTCAATCAAGTCCAAAGAATGATTTTAAGGAGTCTAATGACTCATCCCGTTTATACTACCGACAAAACTAGAAATATTGTTAGCACTTCAATGCTGCTGGATTACAATAACACCACGATAATATGCCCTGAGGGTAAACTACAAGTCTACAATTGGATCAGGGCGAATTAATTATTATTAGGGATTAGAAAAAATATAGATTTCTCGGGATTTTTCAATATCGGAACTATTGTAAATAGAGTGATTTTGTTTTATTGTATTTCTATATTTTAACATTATTTTGTACTGATAGCTGATATTGATAACTCAAAATCTTATAAGGACCAACATATACATATAAATAATTCTATGTTCACTCTCTTCGATTTTCAGGAAAATAAAATTTTAAAAATTTCAGAATATTCTAAAATTGTACATGTACACATGTACTTGCTCATAACTTTAAAGCTGCTCAATGTACAAATGTAGTCCCATACTATGGAAAATTATTATCGATAAAACCCTTAGGCTGTTACTAAGAAAACTTTTGATACCCACCATCAAAAGTATAGGGGTATATTGATTTTGTCATTCCGTTTGTAACACATAGAAATATTGATCGAAGACCCACAAAAGTATATTGTGGGACATTATAAAATTTTAAAACGATCTAGCTATGTTCGTCTGATCATTTGTCCATCAATCTGTAAGTTAAAAGCACGATAGAGGCCACACAGGCGAAACAATATAGAGTGTTGAAATTGCACACAGATATTTATACCCTGCACCACTTTAGTAGGGAGGTTATATTGGGTTTGTGCTGATGTTTGTAACGCACAATAATATTGGTCCTGAACCCGCCGAATAAGGCTCTTAAGTTCATAATTATGTTTAATATACTCGTATCTCGACAAAAAGCTGAAAAACGAAGTTCTATACTAGCCTTGATGACCCTCAAAAATTTTATAGTTATAGGGTCTCATTTGACCATAGCCCCTATACAAAGCCCCCTTCAAAATTGAAGAGGTTTGTTTGGTATTAAAAATGAGCAATATCGGTCCACGATTTCACCTAGCCCCCATACAAATGCCCCTTGTGAATACAGTTTAAAGAATCATAAATAAGTTAATTATAAAACAATCGTGATAAAATCTGGAACAAGTTAGTTTCTTCTATCAAGTATACTATCAAGTATGGCGGACATCGGACCATACTTTAAAGCTCGTAACTGGATAAATTATAAGGGTATAGTTGCGGAATTCGACACAAATAAGATTTGTAAGAACAAAACTCTTTTTACCAAAATTTTATAACTATTGATTCATAATTGGTTCTACCCCTCATATAAGGTCCCCTTAATAAAATGACTATAATGCTTATAACTGGCTTAATAATAGGATTGTTGAGGATCGGTACTGACTGACCCTACTCCGGCATAAGTTTCCCTTCAGAAAATTATTTTAATACTCATAACCGGGGTAGTGATAACAGTATAGGGACTAAATTCGACACAAAATAGTGTCATATTACAAAAACCTCCCTTTAAAAATTATCGGTTCATAATTAACCATAGGTCCCAAATAAGATCCTTATCAGAAAATTCCTTTAATTTTCATAACTGACGAAATATTCTTCATAAACTAGTTTTATAAAAACAAATATCTCTTTACCAAATTTGATAAGGATGGTTTCAAAATTTTCCCTACTTCCACATAAGGTCACCTTCAGAAAATTACTTTAACGTTATAACTGACTTAATATAATAGCAGTATAGTAATTGCCATAAACTACGATACAGCAGCGAGAAGAATTCGGGAACGGAATCTCGAAAATACGACTATACATATCTATTTGGACAGCCTTGCATCAATCACGGCTCTTAACTCCAACGTTATTAAGTCGAAATATCTTCTCAATTGTATTCAATCATTGGCACAACTCACACAACATCACATTGAGTTGATATGGGTTTCAGGACATGAGGGCATTCTAGTAAATGAAATATCTTATCCAAAGGATCATCTCTAGACTTAACTCTATCGCAAAGGGATATTAACAGTCCCCTGGTGACCCTATCAAAATTGATAGATGACTAAGCTTTGAGTGAGACGGAACTCAGTTGGACTTGTAGAATATCTAGACTACTTTGGCCTACTCTGACAAAAGATTGGACTAGGACTCTCTTGTTTTTTAATAAGAACTCGATTAGGCTTCTCACGGGTATAATTACTGGGCACTGTATGATTGGACATATGTCGGAACGTATGGACTACCCACGTTATAGCTACTGTAGAAATTGTTTGGATGAAAAAGAAGAGGAATTTATACAACCCCTTCCATGTAACTGTCCAGCCTTACAAAAGCACAGACTACTCTATCTTGGTAGAGATCTTTTCCATGATCTGGACTATCTTAGAGATGAGTCACTAATAAATATGATCGGTTTTATTAAAAATATAGTCAACTAAATTAGGGAGTGAAACCATTATCCTTTATGTACAAACTCTCAACATAAGCGAATGGTAATTGTAAGGGTATCACAATGGGTCACAAGGTTTCTGAGTGAACTCGCTAACTAGCAAGCAACCTACGTAACCTAACCTACAATCAATACTTTGGCTAATTCCATAATTTATAAAAACAATTTCATATGTTTACAATTCGAAAAACAAATAAAAAATGTAAATTCAATAAAGTAATTTAAATATTTATTTAAATTGGAAATTATGTACATCTATTAAATAAATTAAAACTTTACAAGTCAAGTGTGAAAAATAATAAAAATATTTAATTAAAATTTATTGGATTAAAAGTCACAAAAAAATTATAAATAACTGAGATTTTTTATGATTTAATTTATACACGTCATCAGATTCCATTTGTGTAATGTTTCAACGCGCAATAAAAATCATTGATATAAGTTAATCAATTAAAGTAAATGCTGTACTCAGAATATTAGCTGCAAACCCATATTGGGGCGCTTGGTTATATGGGGAATAGGCGAAATGGACCAATTTCAACAATTTTTCCTTGAACTAAGAGAAGAGCGATTTATAAATTGTCTTGAAAAATATAATGTATATTGAACATAAGGACGGACATGGCTCATTGGCTAGACTCTTGGTATACTATAGAATGGATATTTTAGTATGTTAGCATCAATCCATAATACCGCACTCTATAGTGATGTAGTGTTAGTTTCAAATTGCTGCCTTTGCTTTTAAACTTATTAATCGTTGTTAAACCACACATGGGACATCGAATTTAATTTAATCACATTTTTCGAATCATTTTAAATTTATACAATTTAACCTTCAATTTTGTGGTCTACCTTATAATAGCTCAATTTTGTAACAATTTACTTACTTTTGTTTAACTTCCTTTTTTTTTATCGTCATTCGCCCTAAAGTTATAATTGAAATAAGTGATTGACAAATGAAATCAGTGACATAAAAGTTTAAAATTATTTGAAATTGCTTTTTATTTACATTAAATTGTATTGTTTGTGACAAAAAAAAAATTAAAATGAAAAACAAATATAAATATCACTTATAAATCAATTTTCGTTATTTAATTCACATTGACAACATGTTGACATGCAACGTATAGAAATGTTGACAACAAAGGATTTTAAATGAAAAACATACAACCATGTGTACTAAACGAAATTACTCACACGTACTCACCCGAAATTGATTTATAAAGTAAAAAAAACAAAGACCTATAGAAAAGTTTAACATTTATTTTGTTTATAAGCAGAGTTTTAAAGGAATTTATTTTATATTTAATATATAAACATTGGTTGAGAATTATTTTATGAGAGATTCGAATCACAAAACTTGATATTAAATTCTGAATTGCGGATAGAAATAAATGAATCAAATATCTATCCAACTTTAGAATAAGCTATCTGATCCATCCGAAAATAAATTTAAACAAAGTTCAATCGTCCATATGACCCGTTGTCCAAAATTTTCACAAATGTTTAATTATTTCATCCATAAATGAGCAAAATATGTGGACTAATCAGAGAAAAAGTTGTTGTTCTTTATAACTGAAATCATTCTTTTAAATCTAATTGTACAACAACCACACTACCCGCTGTTTCAAACAAAAAAGTAAATTGTACTTTATTTTCATTCAAAAAAACAAACAATGAGGGTGGATTTCATTATTTCGCTTTTTTTGTACTT